GGCCTAGTTCTTATATTTACTAATTGATTGACCTTGAGTTGGTACCACCATCTGTTGAGTTTCAGTTTCTTCATGTGTAAAATGGGGATGTTAACACCCATCCTGTTGTACTCTCTCAGTTGTTGTGGGGAGCAAATGAGCAAGTGCTGAGGCTTTTCAAAACCACACTGCCTACTACATCTATGATGTGTGTATGTGTATATAAATAAATAAAATTACCGTGGGTATGCTTAATTGGTGGGAAGATGTGATGAAATCCAATTCTCATTTAAGCAGATAGTAGTACTTGAAGTTGTTGAACTCTGAAATTTTATGTTTTTAAGGCATTAATAATGAAATTTCACAGCTTGAGTCAGATGATTTTGTGATCTGCCCAAAACCCATGGAACTTCTTGGTAAAAAAAGCGAACAGTCTGGATTATCTATTACACTGGAATCTACGGGATTAGCTGATGAAAAACTGCAGTATGTCCATGTTCAGCACCTGCTGTATAGGTATTAGAGAGCTTTTTATTTACCAGCACTTAATATATATGTCCCTGCATCCAGCACATGGAAATTAGATTTCTCCTTCCTTTTCAACCCACAGACGTTTTGCTCCTGATATTTCAGCCTATGTCTTACCCGATGACATCAAGTTGCATTCCCTTCAGCTGCTACCCATTTACCAGACAGGTACGTTTGACAGGACAGGAGTGTGACAGTACAGTGAGGTGCAAAGGCTCTGGGTGGACAGAGGGACAAGTGTGGGTGGTAGGTTTGGTTCTTCACAGAATCTCCCTGTGGCCTTAGACAATGAACTTACAAATACTTGTGAGCTCTAGAAAGGAAGTCATGTCTCCTAGGAGAAGCCATGGAGAGGGTGGGACAGATAGAATCCATTTCCCTTTTTTAAATGGTCTGTATCCTCAAAAAGGAGATCAGAGCCCTGTTAGAACTGAGATACATCTGGGTTCTATTTGGCAAAACTTCCTACAGTAGTCTTGAGCAAGGTGGGGAAATGTGGACTGAATGGAAATTCCTTTAGAGAAGCGGTTCCTGCTGCACATTGGACTCACCGGATACCTTGAGATTTTGCCCAGGTTCTACATGGCAAAACTTAATTGGTCAATTATGGGGCCTGGGCATTATTACTATTATTATTTTTAAGAGTCTCACTCTGTTGCCCACACTAGAAAGCCATGGCCTCACCTTACCTCACAGAGACCTCAAAGTCTTGGTTCAAGCAATCCTCCTTCCTCAGCCTCCCAAGTAACTGGAACTATAGGCACACACCACCATGCCTGGTTAATTTTTTTATTTTTAGAAAGAATATCACTTCACTCAGGCTGGTCGCTAACTTCTGACTTCAACTGATCTAACTGATCCTCTTGCTTTGGCCTCCCAGAAGACTAGGATTATAGGTGGGAGTCACCGCCTCTGGCCCAGCCTCAGTTTTTTAAAAGATCCCCAAGACTCCAGCAGGCACCAAGATTGAGAATCCCTAATAGGCTGTGTACTTAGTCCTGGTCTGCAGAACATCTTTAGATGTTATCTAGAAAAAGATACAAATATTATTCCAATTAAATGTCTTCATGGACTTCATTAATTTTTTTCTTTACTAAATATTTATCAAATGCCTACTCTGTTGAGCATTTAGCTGAATACTAGGGAGCCAATGGTGAGAAAAGTGCTTGGGCTTACAGAGCTGATCAACTGATAGGGGAAGGTGGACATTAACTGCATAGTTGCAAAAAGACAATTGCACCCTAAAATGAGAGCTCTGTGGGAAAGGAACTCCAGTAGGAGAGCCTGTAACAAAAGACCCTGATCTCAGCACCCTGAGGTCAGGGAAGGCTTCCTGAGGAAAATGATATGCAGAGTGAATTGGGCTGACTTGGGAATAGCAGCTGGTGCAGGGGAGGGGAAGAGAGCCTTCCGCACAGCGGAAGCAGCAAAGGTTGCTGCTGAGGGAGAGTCAGTGTTTAAGGAACTGAGAAAAGCCAGAGTAGGGAGAGTGGAATAGGAGGTGGTGTGTGAGACAGGGCCGGAGGCCAGACGGGGCCGTGTGAGTGGGTCATCTCCTTATCCAGTGAATTCCTGGAGCACTTGGAGTAAAAGTCCCAAGTCTGTTCCAGGGCCTGCCTGACCCTAACTCTGCGCTCATCTTGTCCCACTCTCACCCTGCTTACTCTTCTCTGTCCGTAGTGACCTGTCTTCCACAGATTTGCCAAGCACACCCTGGTCTAAGACCTCTCATTTGCTCGTCCTGCATTTAGAAATATATTTCCTCAGATCTTGCATGATGGGCTCGTTTGGGTTTTTCAACTCACAGCTGAAATGTAACCTTATGGCAGGGCAGTGCCCTGACCTCTCAGTTTAAAGTATCCTTTCTCCACGTTCTGTGGTGTTCCCTTTATTCTCCATCCCAATCCCCATCACTAGAACAAAGGCTCCAGGAAAGCAGTGACCTTGCCTTGGGCACTGTTGGATCCCTAGAACTTAGAACAGAAGTGCTTGATGGGTACCTGGTGAAGATTTACTAAACAGGCTAATGGTGATTGTTTGAGCCGGGCCCTAACAGATGCGTAGAATAGCAATAGCAGGTGGAGATTTTAGTAAGATACACATAAGTGTAATATCTTACTGACATTATGTATGTGTAGAGACTAGGGGCCAGTCTCCCTCCGATTGGTTAGAGCACAAATGTGTGAAGGAAAGAGGGAGAGAATTGGGCAGTCAGCTTTGGGCAAAATGAGATTCCTGATGTT